CTGTGTTAGCAATGATTCATGTGAATCCTCACATCAGTACAAGAGAAATCGAACGTCGGTTGGGTGTACCTCGTACTACTGCTCATCGGATGTTAAGATCCGTGGGTTACCATCCATACCACATCATCCTGCACCAAGAACTCAATGAAAATGATTATTTACTCAGAATGAATAACTGTAGGTGGGCTCTTAATCAACTGGACGAGGATCCCAATTTCTTTTGGAATGTTTGTTTTAGCGATGAAGCTACCTTCAAAAGTGACGGTAAACTCAATAGACATAATTGTCATTATTGGTCACCTGTCAATCCTCATTGGCATCGTCAAGTGATAAATCAACACCGTTGGAGTCTTAATGTTTGGGTGGGAATATTCAACGGGCATATTATTGGTCCCCATTTTTTTGATGGCAATGTCAATGGCCAAGCGTATCTTGATTTTCTGGAGAATCATCTACCTGAATACTTGGAGGACATCCCACTGAATGTTCGGCAGCTCATGTGGCTACAACAAGATGGTGCTCCAGCTCACTTTGCTGTAAACGTTAGAGAATTTTTGAATGCTCAATTACGTGACCATTGGATAGGTCGAGGTGGTCCAGTTCCCTGGCCACCTAGGTCTCCTGACCTGAATCCACTAGACAGCTATTTCTGGGGATATTGCAAGGACGCTGTTTACAAGGATGCACCTACCACTAGATTAGATATGATGGATAGAGTGAGAAGAGCTTGTGCAGCTGTTACGCCTGAAATACTTACAAACGTTCTCAATAATTATCATCGGCGTTTGGAAACATACTTAGCAAACAATGGGGGACCTATTGAACATCTCATGTAATTGTGCGTGCGCATCATTCATCACCAACTTATTGCCAGATCATTATTATTGTTATTATTGAGTTATTCCTCATCAGATTGACTAATACTGTTGATTATTACTACTAATGACTAATATTTTTTTGTTAAACTCTGTACATAAAAAGTTGAATAAATTTAGTGTGTTCTAAAATTTACGCATACTTTATTTCTCATATGAAAATATGAAACTGTTCTGAGTAAAGTAATTTGCCATTAATTTAACGTTTAAATGGCCATGGAAAGTTGAATTAATTCATTACATAAAATATTTAGGATTTTTTGTACTTTTCGAATCCGGCGTTAAAATTAGGGATTCCTATTTGAAAAAACAAAGTTGACCTTCAAATGACCTTGGCGGATCTCCCGGACCCCACGTATGGTGGTAGGTCATCTAAACGTAGGATTTTCCGCTCTTTCCGAATCCGGGGTCGAAAATAGGGGTTCCTATTTGAAAAAACAAAGTTGACCTTCGAATGACCTTGAAAATGACCCTCGAGGTAAAAGTCAAGGTCACCATAATATGTCCCCCTCGGAGACGAGTAACTTTTATTCGAAATATTTTTCGCTAGCTCTCATAGTTTTTGGGTTATCTTGGTGCGTAAGTTAAAATGGGACACCCTGTATAGAGACATTATACAATAATTGCTACGGGCAACAGATGACGAGTTTAGATAAAACATGGGTACCTAAGTCAATTTGCAATACGTGTAGACAATTTTTGATGAAATGGAATGGAAAAGATACAATGACAGATGTCGTCATTCGGCCAGCTATATGGCGCGAGCCAAGAGATCATGCAACAGATTGCTACTTTTGTTTATGCGATACAACAGGTTTCAAAAAACAATATTTGTACAAAATAGAATATCCTTTTGTAAACAGCGTAACACCAGCAGAAATAGGAACTATGAGAGGTTCTGAGAAAAGAGTCGATGAATCTGACCCGGTATCAATGGATACCGAGGAAACAGATGAGACTGGAGAATTTCCTTTTGAATCTAGTTCGAATGATGAAAGTCCTAAATTGTTTGACCAAAATGCATTGAATGATCTTATTCGCGATCTAAACCTACCGAAAGACAAAGCTGAGCTTCTTGCCTCCAGGCTTAAAGAAAGGAACCTACTGTCATCCGGTACTAAAGTTACTGTTTACAGAAAAAGAGAAAAAGAGTTTCTTAAATTTTTTTCAAAAGAAGATGGAATAGTTTTTTGTAATGACATTAGAGAACTTATGAATTTATATCAAAGTGGTATATATAAGCCAGAAGATTGGCATCTTTTCATAGATTCCTCAGTGAAAAGCCTGAAAGCAGTTCTGTTGAATAATGGAAATACATATGCTGCACTTCCGATAGGCCACTCTACTGTACTCAAGAAATCTTACATGAATTTCCAATTACTTTTGAAAAAAATAAAGTATAATGATCACGACTGGCTTCTTTGTGGTGACTTTAAAATGATCAACCTTATAGTAGGTTTGAAATCGGGTAACGTTAAATACCCTTGCTTTCTTTGCCTTTGGGATAGCCGTGCAAAACAGGAACTGTAGTGGAAACAAGAGAAGTGGCCAAAAAGACGTGAGTGGAAAGTTGGGGAGTACAATGTGGTTGAAAAATCTCTTATTGACAGAAACAATATATTATTACCACCATTGCATATCAAATTAGGTCTCATAAAGCAGTTTGTGAAAAAGTTAAATCAAGAAGGTGACTGTTTTAAGTACATTAGGTCTACATTTCCTAATTTGAGTGATGCAAAAGTATCGGAAGGTATTTTTGTGGGTCCTGATATTAGAAAGCTCATAAACGATGATAAATTTATAAAAACAATGACGCCCATTGAAAAAAATGCTTGGTTATGTTTTAAGAATACAGTGCAAGGATTTTTAGGAAACAAGAAGGATCCTCATTATAAAAAAATTGTGTCTGATATGCTAGAACACTATCGAATATTGCAATGCAATATGAGTCTCAAATTGCATTTTCTCAAATGTCACTTGGACTATTTCCTTGAAAATCTTGGAGCGTACAGCGAAGAGATGGGCGAAAGATTTCACCAGGATTTGTATCAACAAGAAATGCACTACCAAGGTCGGTGGGATGAACATATGTTAGCTGACTATTGCTGGTCACTAAATCGAGAAGATAACCCAGAAAGCCATAAGCGAAAATCTCTCCAAAGGTCCTTTGATACTAAACGCGAGAGATTCCATAAAAAATAATTTTGAAATAGCCGGGAAAATCGTTTATGAAAAAGATTAATTTGTAGAATGTGATGAGTAATATGCTACTTAAAAACGTTGAGAATAAACTTTTAAAGATTCAACATAGCAGACACTTCGACTCGAATGTTGAAGAAGTTAAGATGTAGCTGTCCAAGGTTATTGCCTCGGTAGGTACAAATTATGAAGGGTGAGGCAATTGAGATATAGCGGGATAGGGTTATAGCCTCGCCGGGTTTATGGGTTAGGTAATTGGGGTTATTGGATCTCAGGGTACAGGGTTTGTGGGTTAGGTAATTGAGGGTAGCGTCATTGGGTTATTGGGTCGCAGGGTACAGGGTTTGTGGGTTGAGTAAGTGGGGGTGTAGCGTCATGGGGTCTCAGGGTACAGGGTTTGTGGGTAGCGTCAATGGATTGTTGAGTCGCAGGGTACAGGGTTTGTGGGTTGAGTAAGTGGGGGTGTAGCGTCATGGGGTTATTGGGTCGCAAAGTACAGGGTTCAGGGGTTAAGAAAATTGGGGTTAGAGGGTTTGGGGTTATAGCCTCGCAGGTTACAGGGTTCGGGGGTTAAGGAACTTGGGGTTAGAGGGTTTGGGGTTATAGCCTCGCAGGTTACAGGGTTTAGGGTTGCCTTAGTTTCAAAATCTGACTTTGTATTCGTGATCAGTGACCCCAAAAACACCAAAAACACCCAAAAACGCCATTTTGATTTTTCAAAATCTGACCATATGTTCGTAATCAGCAACCCCGAAAACCCATGTGCACATTTTTTCGGTCGAATGAGATCACTTATAAAATTTTAGGTCCGCCATATTGGATCCGCCGTTTTGAATTTTCAAAATCTGTCCTTATATTCTTTAACAGCAGCCTCAAAAACCCATATATAGATTTTTTCGATCGAATACGATCACTTATAAATTGGGCTTATAGCCTCACATATGCTACAAAGGCTGTTTCAACGTTGTTACAAAACTGCGAAAATATTTAACTTCAATCAATGATATCTCGATGAAAAAAAAAGTCATCTTGAATCTAAAAAATGGATTTCAAAGGACAAGAGTGCTCCTTTCTGATGCTTTTCCTCGTTTTGGAAAAAAAAATTTATTCAAGATGCTATGTAACCTCAAAATGAGCAAAAAACGGTATTTTTTGCACTTTTAGGTTAGAATATTTCGGAACTCAGACGTATAGGCTAAATTCTGAGCTCGGATTCGTTTTCAGCGCAACAAAATACTTCGGGTACACTAGGTCCGGTCTCAGGTTCTGGAGTTTGGTCAAATTTTGTCGGCCTGTGTAATCCACGTCTTCCATCGCCATGAATCTTTCGAGAAGTGAATCTAACCTCACCGCATTGCACGAAACGGAGTTGGGAGTCGTTGATAAAATTGATCCTCCGGCTGCTATCCAGCCGAAAGAAGTTTTTTGAAGAGTGATTTGGGATCTTTCGCCAATTAGCTTGATTTGTCCTATGGCAAGAGAAGACAGAGTTGGACCTGACGCTAATAAAACATCGACCGGTCTGGGTATATGAAATTGGGGATCCGCTAATTTGATATTTTTGGGGATGTTGAATTTCTTCCGAGGGAAAGTCTCATTAGGCACTTTCTCTGCTATTTTAGGTACAATCAAAAAGTTTAATTGATGTTTAGAATTATTATATGTAGAGTAGAAAGTGGCTGTAGTGTATTTTTCCGAAACAATATTCGCATTGTCTATTGCTCCGATGTTCACAAAGCATTGTTTAACTGGTAATTGTAAACGATTGATAAGAGATTGAGTCATTAAGTTTACATTGGAACATGAATCTAATAGTGAGCGTGCCATGAGACGTTTTCCTCGGCATGACTGAAAGCTTAAAACTGCTGTAGTCATAAGTTGAGAATCGGGAAGGTATGCGCTTGACGCGTATGTTTGTTGGCTTAGTCATGGTTGAGACGTCCCGGATGAATTTGAATCGTTCGCGGGTTGAGGGGTAGATGAACTTGACGGCTTTGATTTTTTATCTGCGTGCAGAAGGGTATGATGATCCTTATGGCATTTCTTACACCTTTTTTCGCTGGGACAGGAAGTGGAGTGAACGTATAAGCAGTTGCGACATAACCCCTTTGCTTTAACGAGTTCCCACCTTTCGTTCAATTTCGCCTTATTGAACTTTTCGCACTTGTAGAGTCTGTGGGATTGACCGCATTGAACGCACGCATTGTTGCTGATCGTCGAGGTAGTGACGAGTGTGTTGGCAATGTTTTTGGAGACTTTCGCCGGGGGTTCTGCCTTGTTACCCGCCCCCTTTCTTTTGGACTGGTGATCTCGTTTCGGAAGTTCACCTATCGCTCGTTGTTTAAATATTGAATCCTGAACGAAGGTATACAATTCTTCTAATTTGGGGATTTCGCGATTTGAGTGTTTATCCATCCATCGTGACAGGAGATACCCGGGCAGGCATCTTTCAAGAATTCGCAGGACAAACTCGTCGCAGATCGCAATGTTCATCGTTTTAAGCATGCTGACGTGCTGACGGACGGTGTACACGAGGGTGGCTGTGGTTTCGGCGGTTGGATTTTGAGCGGGAGCTAACTTCAGCAGAGCGTCGAAGTGCTCATTGACTAGGACACGTCGTTGATCGTAAGCGTTGCACAACGCTTCCCAAGCTAGGCCGTAGCTGACGTCACTGGGGTCAAGACAGAATTCTTTTATTACGGTCGCGGCTAAACCCTGAACCGCATTTTGAAGTTGGGATAGTTTGACGCTTCCCGCCATTCCTGGACGATCGTGTATGAGCGCTTGGAAGTTGGCCTTCCAGGGGACCCAGTTCTTGTGGTTCCCTTCAAATTTGGATACTGTCAACGGTGCGAGTTTCGCCACGTCGGTTCTCTCGATGAAGGTAGCGGTGTTATTTGCGTTGAGCATAGTAGAATTCGCGAGAGGGATCACTGGGGTTTGTTCATTTTCGATATCCGGCTTGCTACTTCGAAATATTCGGATTCGAGTTCGTCGAATGCGGCAATATGGGGATGTTCAGGTTGCATCGAAAGAAGTTCTTCGCGATTCGCTGAATAACCTTGATATATGGTCGAAAGGGAATTTATTCGTAACTCCGCGTTCATCGCATCTGGCGATCCTTTCGCTAAGTATTCTTTGAGGGATTTCAACGTTTTTGTGAACCTATTAAATTTCTGTTCGATATAAATTAAGCGTTTTTCTTCGTTGCCACTGGCTGGGATAACTTCGCCGTTATTCATTTTGGGTGGTTATTGGATCGAAATAACGAGTTATGAATCAAAATTGAAATTGACGTTAATTGAAATTTTAAGGAAGAAGGGAGAAAAAATATATGATTGAAACGAACAACAAATTTTTATTTGAATGATTAAAACAATGTCAAACAATTGTCTACAAGCTTGTTTAATGGCAATTAATCACTAGTGGATTGTAAATTGCTCGCTAAATTCGAATAAACATGAAATGCTAACAATGACTCGAGTAATAATCAATGAGCAATCGAATTTTAGTTTGATTGATTCGCTTAATTTGACAAGAAGAAGACAATAAAAAAAACAAAAACGCTAGAATTAAATCAATTGAAATGGAATTAATCGTTATAAATAGAAAGTGAAACTGTTATTTCGCAAGCGTATGCTTGTTTATTGAAGCAGAGAAAGCGAGAAAAAGAAAGAAGAACACTTATCTGAATTAGCGGAAAAGGATGTCGGTGGCCGCTGCGTGTAAGTCCCCCTGGTCGGAAGCGATGGCAATGCTGATCGGTACTGACGACTGCACACGCTGTTGCGCATGCTGGATGATTGCGCACGCTGTTGCGCACGCTGAGTGATTGCGCACGCTGTTGCGCACGCTGTTGCGCACGCTGAGTGTAGGCAATTGCACGAGGCGCGAATGAACGGCGGGGGAGCGAGCGAGAGAGAAGACAAATTGGCGCGCTGCACTTGTCGGTGCACGTTGCGCGCGTTTCTCACGAGCTTTTATATGCACACTTTTCCCTCCCCATACACTCACAATTGCACTCGCGCGACGTCCCCTTTTCTGAGAATGAAAAAGGAGAGAGAGAGGTAGAGAACTACCTCACAGGAGGCACCACGAAATAAATTGAACGACTTCCTTGGCGAAGTTAATCGCTCTTATTTGAATTTTTTCCTTTGTCCTTTGTTGCTAATTTATTTGTGGTCGTTAATTTTTAATTTATTAGATGTGGGAAAAATCACTTAACACTGATTTAAGGAAAAAGCCGTACCGGCATAAAAAACCCTTTTATTATAATGAAATAGGAAATTACAACGATGAAAATGACGCGAGAGAGAAGTCGCGCGGAGAGCGATGGTCGTTGCCATGCACGCACGAACTCATAAGCTTTACACACAAAGGAATTTAGTATACAACGAATTTGCATTCACTGTCACACACTCCAATTACACCGAAGCGATAGGAAAGACCACGTGAGTGGACGAGAGCCTTGCAATAAGTGGGTATTGCAAGCGGTGTTGCACGTGGGTGCACGAAACCGTTATTCAAAACGTAAAGACGCGAGGGAGCTCCGCACGCTGAACGATGTCGTCGACGACTGCCGGTTACACCGGCAAGAGCAGCCATGCTTGGCGCGAGTGGCGCAGCGCCGTAAGGTGCTGCCACCACGCTAGGCTTAAGGCCCTAGCGCCTCACACATTCTCGCACACAGACACGCTTTAGCTGCGCGCGCAGCTTAACTTAATTTAAAAGTACATGCCTGAGTAACATACGTATGTGTTAGTACATATATATCGTATTGCGACGTAACGTACGTATGGAAATTCAGTCTCTTATCAGCTTTAATGAGTGAAATATCAATGTGTCCAATCTAGTCAGTTAATTATGCATGTATTTTTTGTTCATTAAAAATGACGAAAAAAAAAACTTAAGCATTGAAGAGCGATCTGAGATAGTAGCCTTGCATAAAGTGAATAAAAGTAATAATGAAATTTCCAAAATTTTATTATTATTATTAAAACGTTGTAATAAATAAATTTTCTAGAAAAATTGTAACCAAATTATGTTAATCTATTCTGAGTAAGTAATAAATTATGGTTCACTAAATGTATCTCGTTATTATTGTTTGTAAGCCCATTCAGTTATAAATACTAGTTACTTACTAATTTTATTAAATATATGTAATTTCAGTTTTTTTTTCTAGAAAAATTTCAATTCTAAAAAACGTGAAAAAAAAAATTTTTTTTTTAAATTCTGAGTGGCGCATTTGATAGCTCTTGCAAAATACTACATTTTTTCTTCTAAGAGTTTTTTCTTTAGAGTTGAAAATAAAAAAAATACAGCCCATTTTTTGAAAATCTTTGTTTTTGTATAAAACACCATATAGCTCATAAAAAATAAAGGTAAAAAAATTTTCCGGATATGGATTTTGTAGCTTTTTGAAAGCTCTATCGAGTGGCTTATACAGTTTTTCTATCGTAGAATCCGTTATATAAATAAATCAGGATCGAAGTTGATGTGAAAAAATAAAAAAAAAACAATTTGTTTATGACGTCACAAGTTGTACAAAAAACAAATAAAATCAATTATGTTCTACAACATTTGAAAGGTCTTGGCAAGACCTTTCAAATGAGACCCCGCAGGATTTTCTAGCTCTTATAGAAACTGAGCCATAAAACTCTAAAGTTTTGATGATTTCAGCAAGGGGATGGCAAATCTTTATGGACGGTAGTGTAACTTTATGTTAATTAAAGCAAATAACATTTGATACAAAATTTTGAAAACAATGCTTGTACCATTTATAAAAAATAGGATTAATCGTCTTACTATAAGTTTCTACATTTTGATTATTATTAAATTTAATGGCATCCTGGCAGAACCGGTCTATTTTGATACTCAAGTAAGCATTAAGCATCAAGCGTTAACAAAATTTTCATAAAATTCGGAATTAGCTGGTTCTATAGAAACGCTACTGAATTATTTTTAAAGTTTTCCAAGAATTTGTATGTACAAAAAATTTATTTTTAACTTTCTATTTTTAAATTATATTATTTTTTCAAACAATTCTTTTTTACATAATGTATACTTGTAATAGTTAAAATGTATTTCAAAATAAAAAAAACTCTGCCCTTGCCAGAACATTATATAAGAAAAAAAGTGACAGACAAAATATGCAAAAAAGTCTGAGTGACGTTGTATGGAAAAATAAAATTGCTTGGACAAGCAAGTCTATTGCGACACGAAACAATGTAGCCTGAGGAATATGTACACACAGCATTTAAAACATCAGGCAACAATCAGTTGACGCGACTGTGATATTTTTAAACCCTCGTTTTCTTTTATAGTTTCTTCCTTTTATTTTTATCCTCTCTCATTACCTGTCTGAAAAAAGCTGTGCTTTTATTATCACGTCTACCATGAAGATTTTTAATAAAAATGACGTTTCATTGTAGCTTTACTACTTTCGCAGGCTGGGAACAAGAAAATCGTTAATATAATTCTGAAATGATTTCTTGGAAAATATTTGCTTTGTACATGTCTTACGTCGAAATAAATAGGATAATACATAAGTTTCTACAAACAAAAATAATGAAAATTAATAATTGTAAGTACGAAAAAGCTATAGATATTTATAATACTAAAGCTGTAGGTATTTATAATCTTAAAGCTGTAGGTATTTATAATTTTCAAATTCTGTGAACTATTATAATAAAGCCAAATATATTTGGTAAACTGCTGCAAAGCCTTGGATTGAGTTGGAAGGTAAAACCTCGAGTCGGCTTAAAGCTTACCAATGTATTGAAACTTAAACAATTTCATGAGTCACGTAACTTGTGTTAACATTCTATAACAATGCAAATACCGAACGCGGACATGCAAGTGATAAACAAGGAGTCGAAGAGGCAAAGGCTCCTTGAAGGATGTACCTTATTTATTGACACGCCCGTTAATCTGCTTAGGCATATGTTTAGTCGCCATTAGAATAATAAAACATGCCCACGGGAAATTAGATATATAAGAGCGAGTAAGTTTGGCTGAGCTCTCTTATTCCGGCTATCCTTTCTGCTCGTCATTACTCTCTCCGCTAGTGTGCGAATATACCCGTCACTAAACGAAAGAAAACTCGAGACCTCCTAAACTATTCTTGTGGCCAGATTTGAGGAAAAAAGGGAATTGGAGCTCCGCCGTTCTTTCTTGGCCGATTAAATGAACAAGCCCTTTTCTAAAACCAAATAATTGATTAAACTTATTTCATTAATAGTGTTCTCGCGATGAAGTGACAAAGCTGTTTATACTCGCGCAACGGAAACTATTCACACTTACAATCTTTTAAAATATTCAATTTCTGAAGTTTTTCGAAAATCTGCAATCGCTAATGTTCATTTTTAAATGTTTTGAAGTCCGAAAGAGTTAAAAATCTCAGGAACTTGAGAATAGTTCGAAACTGCAAGAAGCTCAATAACTGGAATTTGGTCGCTTTGACTCGACGAGCTCAAGTTTTTACAGTAACCTATGATCCATAAAAATTAAAAACGAAGTTAGTCATAAAAAACTGACTATTTCTATTGAATATAAATGTTCATTGTTCAGTTGTGAGTAAAAAGCCATTAAAACTTAAAGACACGATGTCATACATACTGATTGACTTGATTTTGCAATCGACGGTGTTAATATAAATAAACAGATTTATAGTCAATTACTTTTATAATAAACAGTAATTTCTGGCAGAAAACATAAATGAGATAGCTATTAGTATAGCGTTTTAATAAGATGACAATCCCGTGGATTAAGAACGTGATTGAAAGTTTAGAATGCAAGACAGGAGTATCGCGAATAGTAAAATCAGAAGCAAGAGCAAAAAAGACATCTGGTAATGCGTAATAAGGTGCAACATCGGTAACTATGAAAGAGATCAAAGTAAGTAATAAGCA